GGTCCTACCCTGGGGCTCGCCCAGCAGAGCCACAAGCTGCATCCTGCCCTGGGCATCCCGCTCCATGTCAGCACGCACGGACAGCCCTGGAGAAGCCACGTGGGGCGGCAATGCCTGAAACAGGGTCCTCCACCAGCTGCCCACAAGCCCAGATGTCCCAGAGCAAAGCTAGGGCACGAGGAAAGGGAGGAGAGAGCAAGGCCCACATGCTACTGCCAGAAAACCGAGGGAATGGAGGGGAGAAGCCTGGGTGCCAGCGCCTTACACATTGGAACCAAGGGAGGAGGATAGCGCATGGCTGGAGGGAAGATGCCAAGTTGTCCAGATAACCCTCCCCGGTACAGTCACTGTCCTGCCTGCGTAGCACAGTAATGGGTGACAGAGTGAGTCTGGTCGCCCTCGAGGCAGAGGTGCCACCTGAGGACCACTAGCCCCAGGCGGAGGGTGCTGGCCAGCGGCAGCAGGATGCACGTGTCACCCCTGCGGGGACACAGCGCAGAGCTGAGCCAGCTCGACCAGAGCCCTCCCAAAGCACCCGCAGCCTCCATGCCTCCTAGCACTGACTCCGGGGACGGGAGGAGAGATGGAGAGTGGTCCACAACTAAAGGGTGCTGGTGACACTGCTGAGGGAAGGCCAGGCTGCCGGCACAGTGATTGGGCACCAGCAGGGCCACCTAGATCCTAGGGAGAAAGCAGAAGGCTCCTGACTTGGATGGCAGTGCAATGAGCGTGCAGGTCCTCTGCAGTAGAGGGTACAGCAGTGGGAAGGAGGAAACCGCTTCCTTTCTCACTGTAAACACAGCACGTGGAGTAGCCTGGAGCCTTCCAACCTTCGGGAGCTGGCAGAGGCCTGGCCTCAGCCCAGAGCCTGGAGTGCAGGGCCCCAGCTTTGGCACAGCTGCGGGGGTCACTCCTCGTCCCCTGCGAGCAAGAAGCCGAAGAGGAAGCTGATTGCACGCTGGCGGTCTTGCTGAGTCTGTTTTGCCATCAGATTGGGTGGAGGCCGCAGGAGGAGGCTGGTGAACAGGGTGGCTGCACAGGGAGGAAGACGCTGTTACCACACATGGCTGGAGGCCTTGACGGGCTCTGCGGAGGGAGCATAGCCCAGGGAGCGTGGCAGGAGGGCGCAGGGGCTGCAGGCTCTTACCGATCATGTTGGCACTGACGTTGTTGTCTTCTGAGTACTTGAGGAGCTCCCGCAGAAACGACATCAGGTACCGGAACACGCTGCGGTGGCAACGGGGCAGCTGAGAAATCACCTGCAGGGACAGCAACAGGAAGCCCCCTCAGCACACGGAACTCGAGCTGCAGCAGCGCGGCCTCAGGAGGGGCGTCCTGCTCGCAACGCCCGGGCAAGCAGCCCGAGCAAGGCCGAGCTCGCCGGGGCGGCCGGCGGCAGCGCCGCACCTGGCGGCAGAGGCGGCTGTCGTGCGAGCAGTCCAGGCAGCGCTGGTAGAGCTCGTAGCAGATCACGGGCTCCGGCAGGGCCTCCAGGAAGATGAGCAGCGCTTCGGCCACGGAGTGGTTGCTGCCCGCTGCGCGGCGCCGAGTCAAGGGGCCTGCTGAGCCGCTGGGTCCCCGGCCTCCCCGCGGCGGCTCCTGCCTCCCCTCCCTCCCTGCCGGGTCTGCCTCTTCCACGCGGGACTGCGCTAGGCTCTCTGCCTGCTAAACTACACCCTGACAGCAGAGCCGCCCTCCTCTGTGCCACCCCATCCAAGAAAAACTCTGTTACACCCACCCAGCGCCGCCTTTGCCCATCACTCCCTCCACGACACCCCCAGCCCCACAGAGCTGCTCGCGCCACAGTTTGATCGTGCTCCCCCAGGGCTCTCACTCTAGCACTGGTTACAACCTGATAGCAGCCTCCAGTTTCCAAAATTTTGGCCCCATGGCTACTTATCCAGCATGCCTTCAACTTCAAGAGACATTATCTGTGGGATGGGGGGACCGTAGGGAACTAGGTCTGCAGGGGGACTCTGCCAAAACAAAGTCACAGACATCTGCTGCTGCAAGGGAGTTAGTGGGTGTCTGGGAAAGCTCAGGTCCAGGAGGAAGGTAAGCCAGGTTTAGCAAAGGATACGGATTGTCTCGGGGATACTGGTGTCCAGGCAGTCAATGATCTGCTGCAGTTCCTCCTGCATGCCGGGAGTCTGGAACAGGTCCTCCTGCCAACGACACTGTGAGTGAGCCCAGGAACAGACAAATTCGCCTTCCCCACAGATGCTGAGAGAAAGCAGGTGTCCCCAAACAGCACCTCAAGTGAAGGGGAAATGCCCTGCCTTATAAACACCAAACTGGGGTTGATCTCCAGATGTTACTGATGAATCTAGTAGAGGCTCCCAGGTCACCAGGCCCTCAAGAGTGTCACTGCACGGGCAAGGGTCCGCTCCCTCACCTGGTGGCAGGCGTTCTTGAACAAGTGGTCCACCAAGAGCCAGATCTCCTTTGGCACCTGCAGTGGCATCTCACTTGCATCCTCGCTGTCCAGGGAGCCCATTTGCAGAACGGACTTCTCCTGATGGCAAAGAGCACACGAAGGTTCAGAAACACCCCCCTCCTTTTGTTATGGTCGGGTAAAACACGCCTAGAGATGAAGAGAACACACACAGGACCCCTCCAGCCACCAGAGCTGCTTTTACAGCACAGAGCCATTGCATCAGTGGTGGCAGCTCTGCTCCTTCCCGTTGCCCCACACGACCACAGCAAACAGCTTCAGCAGTGCCCCAGGAGAGCTTCCCCCTAAAGAACACGGCTCCCACAGGATGGTCTCTGGAGATCTAGGACAGCCTGTTCACATCACAGCTTCCACCCTGAAGCTGATGCTCTAGAGGATCAACCATTCTCAAATTCCCCAATTGTTTGAGCTTCTGCATTTTAGGTTAAATCCAAATGCAGCTCCCTATGCTCAGCTAGATACTCTCATCTGGATGCAGAGTCAAGGACATTGATTTTACTGATTTCTGTGTGCTCTAATGAGCTGCTCTCTGAGCACTAAATTCAGTTCAGTTTTCTTAAGTTTCCTCATGGATTTTTTTTTAAGGAGATGGGTCCCTGCTGAATAGAGACTTCCCTCATCCCAGTGTCATATTTTCCTGCTTACTCATATGAGGCAGCTGATTAGCTCAACTGCTTAGGAATCTCCATCACCGTTACACCAATCTTTAACATGATCAGCGTCTTCTTGCCTCAGTTTATTCTCCTTTTAGTCCTTTGTGCTTCCACGTGCTTCCAAGACGAAAGCCCCATGCGGGTCTCCAGAAGCACAATCAGCAGAGCCCTCGGGAAGAGACTGGTGCAAGCGGGGACACAACCCAAGGACATGAGCGGAGAGGAGCCGTGAGGCGAATGTGGCTTCGTTTTTGTTGTCAGCTCACGTTACAGCTGTGATCTCTGCCCCTGTGCAGCACGGAGTCACCAGCAGCCGGCCCGGGCCTTGCCCCAGAGCTGTTGCAGATACCTCGGAGCAGCACTGAGTCCTTCCCCAGGAGGGCACCAGCCACGCGAGCTCCGCTGCCTCCAGGCACCACTGAGTTTTACCTCGCTGGCAGACACGGGGTCACCCCTCCAAACACAGCGGGAAGGATGGAGAGCAGCAGAAGCGAGTGCACTTCAGGTCTCCTCCAGCAGGGGAAATGCGAGTCCTGTGAATCCCGAAAGGGAAGGGCTCTCTCCAGGAGGGAAACCCCTCACTCCGCGGCACGGGAGATCTGGTGCCGAGCATCACAGTGGGGCTGCCAGGCTGTGCAGGACCCCGCTCAGAGATGTGCAGAGATGCCCAAGGCAGGGGCCTTCCCAGCTCCTTCGCGGAGCTTCCAGCTCCCCTGGTGCCTTGGCCGGGCACCGAGCGCCCTCTCCTGCCCTGCGCGAGCAAGAGAAGGGAGCGCTCGTGTCTGCAGCTGCTCCCGAAGGGAGATGCTCTGCAAGACGGTGTTCCCAGGAGACAGGCACCAAACTCTTCCCTTCCTCACGGCCACGAGAGAGTCTGGTTCAGTATATATGAGTTCACTGCCTCTTGGAGAGGAGGGCATCCATTTCCTCTCCTATTTTACTCTGTCACTGCACTCTCACAGCCTGGAGAGAGAGAAGTCACCCAGCCTGAGATGTTCACACAGAGTCACTCACGCTGGTCACCACTGGGCACAGGAAGAAAGCAGGAGCAATGCTGCTACGTGCACAACACCCGTCTCCTACCTGCCCTTGCAAACACAGCTTTGACTCCTTGGGCCCCCAGGGCAGAGCACAAGTGCAAAGCAAAGCAGCAATCCCGCTCAGGCAATCCGAGCTTTGCTGCTTACGGAAGCAGATGAATTTCTGCCTCCAACAGGAGGCCTTCAAAATGCCTCTAGGAGGACATGCCAAGATGGAAACAGCAAAAGACTTCAGATTTTTAACTCAGTCCCCTCCCCATATGTTTCAAAAGGCTGCTATGGTGCACCCCATTTTACATGCCTCTTTAGAGCTCGTTCAGATATGCCAAATGTAGCCTTTTTTTTTTTTCTGGAAAGATTCATCTTTCAAAACTGGTTCAGTACAGAGCACTTTCTGCCTAGAGCAAATCAAGTGAGCTTTAAGTGGCTCAGCTGGGCAGGTCCCATCTTGGCTACAGGGCCTCTCTGTGCTCCTACGTCTTCTCTTCCTCCCTGGAACCTCTGCTGCAGCAAGAGACTTTGCTTGAGCAAGCAGTCCGCTCCAGACCCACCTCCCCTTCCCTCTCCAGCAGAAAACAAGGCAAATATCTCTCATCCTTCACAAACACAAGCAAGAAACAGGCTTCCCCAGGAGTCGCTTGCGTTACCTTTTCTAAGAAGCTGTCTTCTCCCTGAGAGCAGAGTGGGAAAGAAAGAAGAGGAAAAGTACCATTAACAGAGAGACTGTGATGTGAGATTAAGCAGCAACCTGATTTGTGTGGTGAGAGCCCACCGAGCGCAGGTTCCTTCACACGTTTTGCTGACATGGCCAAAGCTAAACCTTCATCAGGAGCTTTGGCTGCCAATTAGCAGAAATCCTGCTCACATGATGCATAACTCTGTCCGAATTTCATGAAATCCTACGAGTGGCCTCGCAGCGGCACTGCTTACCAGCTGGTCAACATTCAGGCTGCAGACAGAGGCATTTGCCAGGAAGAAGTCCCCACTCATTTCCTTTCTTGAATCTTCCCCATCAGAAACAAATATCCCTGTATTATTGCAACCATCTTCCCTTGTGATCAGGCCCTGTCAATGTTATACCTCAGGCTAAAGCTGCATTTCTAGTGTGTGGCAGCTGTGTCACAGACAGGCCCCCTAAGCAGCTTTGTGTAGGGTCGGGGAAGCGAGTGCTTGCGCTCCAAACCGCACGCTGCTCGCCTCTCTCACCCTAAGAGCATTAACACCCTGCAGCCAGGAGCAAGCCAGAGCCCTCTCTAGGCTGCACGGCTGATCCCTCGGCTTAGGATGTTGCATCCATGGAGTTCAAAGGTAGAAACAGGTTGCCCGAAGCTGAGGTTTGGTGGCTAAACCTTTAGGCACAGGAGGAAACAGAAACCTGCTCGAGCATCAAGCTGGGAAGAGCAGCAGGAGCGGAGAGGGACATGGCTGGGAGAGGCAGGGGCGAAGCCATCGGCTCTCCCAGCCCTCCTGGCTCCTGTGGAGTCTGCCCACGTGGATGGAGTGGCTGGGAATGTGAACACAGCCCCAAAAGACCAGCCTCTCAGAGGGAGCAGCTTGCTCCAGACGTGAGCTAGTGCGGGGTCTTCTTGCAAGAGGCCGAGGGAGGGACTGCACTCAAAGGCCTGCAGACACCGCGAGCCACTGCACCCGGAGAGGCTTGTTTTGTAACTGCATGACTCATCTCCACTGTCTTGCTTCCACCTGACTGCTTGCCCTGCTGTTCCTTCTCCTTCTGAACTGCTCAACACCATTAGCTGTGGGAGACTAACCTACTCCTATCGAAGATTCTTCAACAGGCTTTTAAAGTCTAAGTAATCCCAAGGAAACAAAATAGCATGAAATACAAATACTGAAATCCTAAAGGAAAAGTGCTCGAACACCCACAGCTTGTCCCAGGGGGACCAGCAGAAGTATCTCAAAATAAGCTCCCACCTACACTTTGCTCTCCTGCACCAAGCTGGCTCTCAGGCCCTTAATGTCCCCTCATGTCCTCTAGATCTCCCCCTGCTGAAGGCAACCTGCAGAATCCACTCAGGCTGAGAAGTCCTTGATGCAAAGAATAAGCCCTGCCACTACATAAATGCAGCAGAGGGTGCTTTTAATACACAAACACATTTTCTTCCTCATACAGAGCCCAAGCTCTGCTAAGGGCATGTAATTGGATGAAAATGTTTCTCTGCTGCACAGCAGTTAACATTTCCACCAGCTTTCCTTGCAGAAAGTGCTCAGCTTTTCCTGTCTGCAAGAATTTCTTAATCCACAGGTATGGTCAAATACAACAGACCTAAAGTAACTTTAACATGACAGTAGCTACTACTACTAAAATTTGCTCTGCATTTGCTCTGCACAGTTACATATTAAGTCTTCAAGCTTGCTGAACATGCCCTGACTGAAGCATAGTCAAATTAACTTAACACAAGAGACTGCTTCTTCACTGTGCATTTTGGCACATAGTGTCTTCATGTTTTGCTCTTTTAAGACTGTTTTGCTTCCTGTCCTCCTACATGCTTCAATGAATAACAGTCGAGGGAAATCTAGAGGTAAAGAAAGCAGAAGAGAGCTCAAAATACATTTGGTTGTATAGAAAAGTAATAAAGTGTGTTTTCAAGGGCAGAAGCTAAGAGTCTAGGCCCAAGTTCTTGCCCATCATGAGTGAGGTTAAAGGAAGAGCAGTAAAAAGCAAGAGCAGAGCAGATTGATGAAATGCTCCAGCCCAAGCTGAGCACATTTCTATCAGAAGAATGATTTCGAGAGGTATGAAGAGCTTGAGGCCTAGATTAGTTGTTTGAGTTGAGGAGGTAAAGACTTTGTCTTGCCACCTGGATTCTGTTTAGCCTCCTCTTGTGATTGTATAATAAAATGCATGGTGCAAAAATGGTCTTTTTATAAACTGTGTGTGCAAGAATAGCTGTCACTTGCTAAAGAAGGTGGAAGCTGGAAGACTGAAGTTTGCTAAGGGGAAGAGAATAGCGTTTAAAAGCACATGGCAGTGGAGGCTGGCAAAGCCACATCTGCAAACAGCAGCATCCCACTGGATGAAAACAAAATGCACAAATGTGTGAGCCCACAAGTATGAGAGAGAAAAGCTGCCAGAAAAAAATAAAAGAAGAGAGTCAGACTGAGCTAATGTTTTAGCTGAAAGAAAAAGAAATGCCTTTCTTGCCCAATGAAAAACGGACAAACTCTGGAATTTCTAAATCTCACTGAAGCAAGGCCAGGAAAGAAAGTCATAGATGAAAAACAAATACAGTCTGAAAACAAGAACTGAGATTAAAAATGGGGTTTAGCATCTATGAGAAACCTAAAGGACAAGAGATGGCTGGGACACGACTGCACTACCATATATTCATACAAATGGCCTCAGAAGGGTATAGGTTGATGCTAAGGCCTGATGAAGTTTGGGGAGAGGAGATATTATCCCTGCACCAATGAACTTGCTCACTGTGGTCAGTGTGATGGGGAATGACCACAACGGTTGTGGGATCAGCCATTTGCTGAGCTGCATTAATCAACACATGTAACATTATCAAATGCTTTTTGCAAGTCCTTGTGCTCCTGGGCAGTGCAAATGCTGCGAGTGTCCAAACGGAAAGGGTTTTGGAGCCCTCACCATTGCAGGAGAAGCTAGGCACTCAAGAGAGCATTTCAGTCCAACTTCTCAGGGAACACTGATGCAAAGCAGGGTATTTAGAACTTACTTAAAGAGACAGGGGAAAACCGTGGAGGTGAGAAGTGTGAAACGCCACATGAAGTTCTGGAAGAAGCAAGTCAATTGAGAGACAGTGCAGCTGACCCAAGCAGAAGACATTACTCCTGGTTTTAGGAATAAACAGGAGGGAATTTGCTCTCTTCCCTGTTAACTGACCCACAGGGTGACCCTGGCATGTTCATTCACACCAATCTGCGCTCTAGAAACGCTGCTACTTACCAGGTCAATGAGTTTAGTGACTGGAACTTCTCGGATTGGTCGTCTCATTCGGCACAGTGCCTCCAGGGAGGTGCCAAAGCAGCTGGGCAGGTAACTCCCACTGATGGTGAGAAAATAGTCCTTCCCTCGGTCCAGATGAAGGACAAGAATATCCTCAATTTTATCCTCGCCTGAGTTCAGAAGGGTCACCGAGTCCTTACTGACGTACACATCCAGGGAGATGTCCACACTCTCATCTGAAACAGGCAGAAGGTCTCAAGAACACACTGACACTCTCCACAAGGAATGATGTGCACAAGCACGCTACAGGGACAGCGGCCTCAAGACTGAGCAAGACAGAGACACAAGGGTGGTGGCAGGAAAGGTGAGACACAGGAAAGAGGGGAAGGACTGAATAGAGATGGGGTGGCAGCCTACACCAGTGTGCGCTAGGGACAGCAATAAAACTCGACTCACTTGGCTCCAAGTAACCTTCACAAGGCTCGGCCCGAAGCCATGGCTTACAGTACTGGATATCGTTGAGTTTTGGGATGAAGGAGAAGTGACAGGTGACCTGCCCATTATTGGTGATCTGGAACTTCTGCTTCTGCAGCTGCCGGAATTTTACATTCTCAAACTCAAACTGAAGAGCAAAGAAGAAATAAATCTCATTAGCACCCACGAAGGGACACAGCTGGGCAATCCTGACTCTGCAGTGGCAACCTGTAACGCGGAGGCGCCTGCACAGTTCTAAGCTCCTAGGAGAAGACCTGCCAAGGAGCCAAAACAAGATGTTGTTTCTATTCCAATTCCTGTCAAAAAAAGGTTGAGTGAAATTTAATTTCCTACAATTAGTTTAGTGAATCAAAGTCCTTAAAAGTCGATCTATCACTTCTAAAGCTGCCATATTTGGGAATTGGACAGTGTTTCAGGTTTCATCCTCACTTCTCTCCTGCTTAGCTCCAGCGAAGGAAGGAAATCATTCTCCATTCTGTCCATCATACGAACTATGTCTTCAAAGACCTTCCGGTATCTCTGGTCATCCACAACCTTTACCTGTGGAAGATCAGAAAAAAATATTCAGAAAAGCTTCTAACCAGCATCAGAGGAACTCTTGGTCATGAGTAAATGGCATTGGAAGTGAAAGATTTCTCCAAGCACTTCTTGTGTGTACTTTCGAGGTTAAGAGAATTTGCACAGATGGTCTTTGAAGTTACACAAGCAATTTTAAGTACATTTAATCTGCAGAGATGTTACCAGCATCTTTCTGGTCAAGGGGTTCAAAGAAAAAAAAATCCACTACTGTGAAACTACTGGGGGTGACAGCAGTGACATCTTGCAGAACTACTCATAATTCTTCAAGGTAAGAGGAGAAAGACTCTCCCTGAGAAGCTGCTCAGACAGCAGGACCTAGCAAAAATGGACACAGGCTCTATCTCTACTCAGCAAGCTAGGAACCACGAATATGTTGCCAACTACTCTCTATCAAACAAATTCAAATGTGAACCTGTGACACTCTCTTAACATCACATCAGAGGTGACATTATGACTGGAGGCACAAGTATTTACTGCGTCTTTCTGGGAAACACAGGAGGAACCTACAAACTCCTCCAGAGCTCATTCCCTTGGCAGATATCATGGCATATATCTGGAAGCGAAGCAGCACCATTAGAGCAGTCTACTGGATTGTCCTCCTGCTGGCTACAGGAGCACACTTGCAGGGATAAACCCCAGCAATCACCTGCATTACTGTGGAATAGCAGCATCTCAGCACTGCACAGCTAAACTGCACATGAAGACCACAGATGCTGCATTGTTTGCTGAGTGGAGGCCAGCAAGGCTGCCCAACAGCAGCACACCTGCCAAATGGACACCCGATATTCTTCTTTATCCTTCTGTGACAACATTCACACAAGTGTCTTGACTCCACAAACATCTTAGAGGAATGAACAAACACGCCATGATCCTGCTCCAGCACATAATGGAAGTTACCCCAATGCGGAACAGCGCGCTGACTGGCTTGTGGTCACTAGTCTTCAGGTCCATATGACTGCGGTATCGGAGCTGATTTATGTTCCCCCCTCTCCAGAGGATCCGATCACACCATGCTGGCACACGACACTTCCCACTGCAAAGAAGCACAGGTTTCCATGGGAATCCCACACTTTGAAAACCATCCAAGCTGTTTGTTCTTATGGCCAGGCAACTCCCCACAACCCATGGCTGCGCCAGCAGGGATGGGATGAATTCCTGCCTCAACTTGAATACTTTGTCCTTTCCTCCTCTTTCTTCCCATTTCCCTATATGGCAGTTAAATTCCTGCCCCTTGCAGCATCAGAAACAAAATTATCTCAAACAGGACAGTTCCCACAGCCTGAGCTCGTGTGTATGGTGACCCAAGCTGCACTTGTTTCCTCTGCTGCCAGACTTTATGGCACACTACAGCTTGATCCATTGCCCGTTCCCACTGCAGAAAATCTGCTCAGCTATCACCACTGAGTTACGAAGTCTGCATCTTGGGTTTAAGTACTGTGCTGACTGATGAACACAGGCAGAGTAAAACCTGGCTTGCTATACAGTTTCCTTGAAATTCTTTCTTGGGAGTTTCTGCACTCAGGGCAACCTTTAGCAGCAAAAGCAGAATGCCTTGGGGAAACACAGAGCCAGCAGGGATCACTACTGCTATCCCAAGGTAGCCAGTCCTGGTGGCGTGCGAGTCAGAGCACAGTATGAATCAGAGACTGCATTTCTACCCTTTCAATTCCTTTTATACTGTTCCCCTGTCTCTAGTAGCTGTGTGAAGTCCTCCCAGTGCAGGTCTAGGAGTTCCGTCTCTACCCTCTTTCATGCTTTAGAGTCAACAAGAACTGAGGTTTTGAGTCATGTGCCTAGACATCCTATACAGCCTCTGCTTATTGGGGAAAGTGCAGGAAATAAAGGATTGAAACCTGCCTGTCTCCTCCAGCCATCATCATAAAACTGAGAAGTATTTCTAGCTCTAGGAAGCAGGAAATCACATTCTATGAGAAACTGCTTGTTAGGTCATAGGTAAACTTGTTCCTGGGCACTAAATTTACCTGGAATCCCAGCGATCTGTTTTAGAGTCGTATTTATACGTGGGGATGAATTTAATATCTCCCTCGAAGAAATCGGCAAATGCTTTCCTTTGAGCCCGCTGAATATTCAACTAGAGGGAGAGAAAGAGCATTTTTAAAGGAGAGAAGAGGAAAAAAACAAACAAACAAACAAAAGTACCCAAAGTTGCACAGTTCTTGCACAGTTCTGGAAAGCAGTTACAGAGTATTTGCATCCCACAGGTTATGGAAATCACCATAGGCTGTACTCTTTATCCTCAAAAACCACACCTCAGAAACCACACCTTTAACAAAGACAGGAATTCAGCACATTCACGGATGTTTTTCTGAACACACAGAATACAAGTCAACACAGCACTGCTTGCCAAAACACCCAGGCAGCATAAAAAAACAGCTAAGCGAAATATTTCTCATTCCACTTAGGTGTTAAATCTCTTTGTTAGTTTGCAGGCTTAAGTACCACCATCATTAATATTTCACTGCCAATCATTTTAGCAAAAGCCCCCAGAGTGTGCTTGGCTGACGACCTGACACTATCTTCCTTTTCTCGCCATCTTCTGCAAAATTTCCTAGTTTCTTCTTACAAAAATCTAAGCTGCAGTTGTTTTCTGCAGGAAGTTCTGAAATACAGTAAAAAAGAACTATAGACAGAATCAATCATATTGATCATTAAACTGTGTGTCAGAGATATTGTGTTATATTTTTTTTTGTTCTTATTTCATGGATACAATTCCTCATTTTAAAGGCACATCTGGTGCTGCCTCAGTTTCCAGGGTGCTGCAGAGAAACAGTGAGCAGGGCAGACTCCAGCACAGAATTTAGGTCAAAGTAGCGGAGCAGAGAGCCTTGACTACAAGCGCTAGTCTCCAAATCAATATATTTTCCAGGACATTGACTATGGAAGCTTTTATCACTGTTACAAACTCAAACATTCCAGCTTGTAGCTTGCATGTAAGAGATAAATCTTCCTGTGAGAGACAGAGCAGCTTGTATAGTCATTTTCTGAGTAATTCGCTTAATCTCAATATTAAATACAGTCTATTTTGGTTTAAAGGACTGAAGCCCATGGCAGAAAATTCATGTCACCAGGACACCCCAAGTTCTGTCTATAGTCTATTATCACAGGGTGTCTGTGATAACAGCCAAGCCAAGATGATGAGACAAGCATTGAGGAAACAGGTGGAGTTCACTGACCTGGTCGTACATCAATAGTGTCTGAAGCTCATTCTTACTGATCAGACTTTTCACCTCACTGGCATCAGGGAGACAAAGCCTGTAATTCAAGTCTCCAAACCAGATGACAACACTGAAAACAAACACGGCAGAGCCAGTACTCAGCATCATAAGTCACACGAGAAAGAATAGAGGTAGGAGAACAGTTGGTTGCTAGTGATTAAGGTTGAGACACATGGAACAACAGAAGTCTTGGAAGGCTGACAGTAGAGTTTTCTAGTGGTGGTACATAATGAAAACACTAACTCCATCTCCTTTGCAATACCACATGGGATTCAGGATTCATTTTAATGAGATACTTGAATTTGAGTAGTCTGAGAAAAGCCTAAAAAACATCACCATTCTTTGCTGAAATGAAACTAGCATCTGCCATCTGTTTTCACAATTTCCCAGGCTATGAGAAGCCCCTCTATTGTGCAAGCTTTACTTTTGTATAAGCTAATGTTGAAGGTTTTTTTGTATTAATCCATTCTGCATTTTACTTTCAATTTTCAATAGTTCAAACATTAAGTACAGAAGTATTAATCATCTGTATAAAAGTTTATGCAAATTTAATTCATATGCTTTCTTGCAGGCTTTTTGACTTCATTTAGATTACTCAACACCACCATCACTCCAGAAGAACCAAGTGTTGCCTGCGTATCATCTGTTTCAGAAACTGAAACAGCAATTGTAGGTACTTGTTGCTCAGAAGAGTCTAAAAATCACTCCCTGTAGAGCTTCTCCTTGCCCTGTTCTTCCCTTCCTTCCACTGTTTATTCTTCATTTCTCATCGTAACTCCTGCACCAGCTTCTTTAAACCTTGTAACATTCAGCCACCAGCTTGTGAACGGTGCTTGCTGAAATAAAAGTATTACATACAACACAGGAGAACAAGGCTGCTAAAGAGGTCACATAAGTCACCATAACAAGATTTGACTGCAGCAAGGACTCACTCTAGCACACAAGAGACCTTGGCATTTTTAGTTATATTGTTAATTAAAAGAGAAAATAGCTTATTTATTGCACATAAATTACTGTTGCTGCAGTTTTCTTAGGTTTCAGGACTGTAAAACAGCAAGAGAAACTTACTCATGTTTCATAATGTTGAGCTGAGGTAGACTGTCATCAGGGGACAGGAAACTCAACCGAGCACAGATATCCTTGTAGTCCTGATTTCGCCGCTCAAAATCCTCCACGTGAGCGGCTAAGTGGGAGTTGACAATGCAGAAGGTTGTGTTGTGGAAGACAAACCTCATAGCCACTCCACCTTTGTTACCCTGGGAGGAACAGGTATCAACCATCATTAGGCAAGAACACGCGGGAAGCACCAGGGAGAGCAGGGGAAGGGAACAGAAATGTGAATAAAGCCACTGTGCCACTTCTCACATGGACATGATGGAGCAACGAATCGGCCTAGGTGACTCACCATCTTTCCCATGACTCCAGTGCCCACACTCTCTATCATGACATCTTTGATATTGCTCATCTGATCCTTCTTAGCAAATACAAGTAGCATCATCCCAACCAGACGGACCGCTTGCACCTGCGAAAATAAAAGGCACCCTGAACTCCCTGAGGAGCAGTGGAGAAGCGCTTCTGCTTTGCCCGTTCCACCTGCTGCTCTGCTCCTCTGAGCCTCCCTGGCCCCCAATGTACTTTGTACTCAATCCCTGCTTACAACACTACCCAAAGGAGCTCCTTTGCCAAAGCTGGTTCTTGGAGGACAGTCTATCATACTCCAACTCATACTCAGTGGTGCTGAACTCGGTACTTTCCCAGCTCTTTGGTGTTTCTCTACAAACGGTCTTGTGGGGTATCAAATACACAGGGTCTGTTCCTTAAGCTGCAGTCTTTTATCATAACTACTACTCTAATTGGAACTAGAAGAAGTTGAGCAGGCAGTTGCACATGTCACAGAAGGCTTCCAGTTATGAATGTCACTGAGAGCTGTGGGGTTTAGCTGAAAGCAGGTGCTTATCTTTGCTTTCTCAGAACTACAGCAAAACCACCAGAGCAAAATGGCCAGAAAAGTACCTATTTCCTGTGGTCAAACATGCCTGACATACAGGGTATCAAAAAGCAGAGGCCCTATCTGATATGATCTGTCTACTTTCTGGAACATTTCTTCTCCAACGGAAAGGATCTTTCTGGATACACACTATGCATCTGCACTTCTGCCCATGAGCCTCCTTCAAAACAAGGGCTGGGGTCCCCACCTCCAAAGCTAGGTAGAAGGTCTAATCAGCCTAAGCACACAGCCTGTCATCTTCATTACTGCAGCGTAAAAATATTAAGAAGTATCAGGATTAAGCCTCTGTAGTGAAGGAAGAAGCTTAAGCCACCCCCATAGTGCTATGCTGGAAGAGCCAGAGCACTCAGCAGGCTGCGCAGGACTGAAATTTGCATGCAGCCAGCAGCCTTATCTACAGTTTCCGTCATTTTCCCCTGTTTGCAGCCATATCATGCTCTCCCCTTTTCACATGCATGAGAAGAATTTGCCTGGAAAAAAAAAAAACACCCAAACCAGCAAAACAGTAAAGCAAAGACACAGGAACACCCTCTCTTCACTCCAGGTCCTGACCCCAAGCTTCCTCTTTTTGAATCCCTATCCAGCAGGGTACTCTGTTATCTGCTTATGATTATCTGTATCACGCAGCACTGAGCTCAACCCAAAGTAAGCACAGGTGTGTGACACAGAGAGCACAAGCTAAGGAAGAAGGGGACACTGGTTAACATACTTAGGGCTGCTACCTATGCAGGGCTGCTACCTATGCAGAAAGGCAGATTTGCTAGAGCAAAGTCAAAACCCAGCTGCTTACTCCAAAAAGCCAGAATAAAGTCCAGCTATCACAACTGAAGAAACTCCATCCCAAGGTAACCTCCTCCGGGAGATTGCTCTGGAGCAAAATTAATCCATGCCTTTACAGAAAAGCTATTTATTTAATTTACAGCTCAAGACAGATATTTTTCATATAGTACAAAGGTGTGAGATTAACACAGCCTTTGAACCCACTACCGTGATTTTACTTTCCTCAAACCTGCCTCTCCTACTTCAGAGTTATTCTGATCTCTGTCTTTTTTGAGCAAAGTAAAATATTCTCCCATGACTGTGAGACAGAAATAGACTCTCCAGATTCATTTTTCCATGTATACAATACATGGGAACACACATGCCAAGTACTCCCTTGGTTACTCTGTTCTCTGCTCTTTGGTTAGGTGAAGAATGGGGCAGCCCACTTCTGTTTTCCTTCCAACAGGGCTAGCTCTGTGACAATCCCATATAATCAAACAGGACTCACTTTCTTATACTTAGCCTGAGGGTGCAAGGACTTCTCCACAGCAGTCAGCCACTCATGCTCCTTTGAAGAATCAAAGTAGAAAAAAGCCTCCGTGCTGAGGTCCAGTTCCTGGAATCTAAAACCAAGCCAATTTAGCACATCCTACCTCTCCTATAAATCAGACTCTTTCTACAAGAGGGTCTGACCAAGCCAATTTAGCACATCCTACCTCCTACGTGCAAGTTTGAGTAACTACTCTTGGGAAGAGCACCAGAATTTCACCACAATGCCTGAGAGACCTTATTGAAATGCACTCTAGAAACCATCTGAGAGGCATTACTTTTACTCTGAGGACAACCAAAGGCTCAGGGGATGCCACAAGAAAAATTCACTCTGTTATGTCATACCAGCTTCCTGTTTAATCTGATGTTCTGCCTCATCCAAATGACTATTTTCCCCAAGACTGCTCCTCCGAGTCATAGCTCCACTCTGTGGAACCTTTTAGAGCACAACAGGAACTTAAAACAAACACAAGCCACCAGCGCCCAAGCAAGAGCATCAAGAAACCTAGCACCATAAGGAAGTACGAGGCCAACACTCCTCACCCGATGCAATAGATGTCTGGAGGCTCCGGGTCACACACAAGCCAGGGCTCCAAGCTGCTGTCTGGTGACTGCCCGTTCACATTCCACGTGCCCACAAAAAACCTGCAACACAGAAGCCGCCGAACTGTCAGAAAACAAAATATATACTGCATCAGCAGTGCACATGCAGCAGCACTACATATTGGGCGCAGGTGCAACATGTGAACCATCAGGGTCACACAGATGAGGGGTTAACTGAAAATACTAGGTTTAGCATCACTGAAAATGAACCACTCTGAGGCATTTTACTTAATGCAGCAAAACAGAAGACAGTTCACTGGAGCCAGCAAATGACTCAAAATTAGTGCGGTGACACTGTGACAGTGTAGCAGCCATAGCTGCCCTTATCCTCTTTCTGCCCAGCTGCTTCAGTCTTACTCAACACTTGAGAGATCTGATACACCCAGGCGTAACGATGCAAAAGGAGAAGCAGCATTGTTGACTTCTGTTCACTTTGAAGTGCACTGACCCCTGCTTGGGCATCCAAGCTGACCCCCCATCAGTAGTGGTCAGATTTTAAACCTGGACTAGACAGGAGCTCACAGAAGAGAGGAGAAAGCTGTGTCCATCTATGTGCACTGTTCTGAGCCACGGTTCTGGAAATGGCTCTCACCTGAAGTTCTGGAGGTTAACATACTCATTCTCTCTCTTGGCAAGCAGGTGTTTGATAAGACCTTCTCTTTGTCCCGACTGGGTGTTGGGCGAAAACATTTTGCGCATAGTGTTGGTTACTTTTGGCTGGTCCCTTGATGCATTCTCTCGGTGAAATCTGAGAGCAAAGCAAGAGCAGAATTAAAACTAGTCCTGCTGTCTAGGAAGGGAAGAAAAAAAGGGAACAGATCCACCATGCTACTTACTGCCTATTTTGAGACACAGGAGGAGGTGGAGGTTCCCGGCGAGATCCCATTTGATGGTTTTGCACGTTTCTTTTCTTCTCCAGGCTTATTGCATTGAAGTCATCCTCAAAACCCAGATCTCCTATAAGGAAGAAGCCAAGCACAATACCCTCAAACACAGTTTAAAACAGCTCAAAACAAGAAGGAAGTAACATAATTCTACGGAAAGTGCAAGATCAAATAGTGATACATCATCTCTGACGACACGGAGCAAGAGAAACGGGTACTAACCATAGACCAAAGCAGTACAGAGCTTAACATATGCAACCCAAGGCGCTAGACAAGACAGCACTCAATGAGGGACAGTCCAGGGCAAGAGATCCCGAGGACCAGGATGTTTTCTTTTCTGCAGGATGAGGTGGTGACAGGAAACGGAGCAGAAGCACCAGCCAGACTGCTGAGGGCAGCGTCAACCACAGCTCTCTGTCACTGAGGATCCCATTTCTACACGCCGATCACAGCACATATAAAGGAGACAGTCAATTTGGTACCTGAAACAGGGGCCTGTGATAAGCCTGAGACATTCTTCACTTGATGCCAGCTGTCTGAGTCCTTATTTTCAGGCGGAGAAGCTTTCAACTGGGCTGGGAAGAAAGAACAGCCCTGTCAGAAACTGCTCGTGATCTGAGGATTTAACAAACGCAACTATAGGTCTGGTTACCTTCCTGGATGCTCTGTATTTCTGCAAGGAAGCTCAAGCAACGCTCCTCATCAGGGATTTCAAAGAGCCGCTCAGCTGTCTTATCACCTTGTATCCGGATCTTGCAGCCTGCTTCAGGCAGAAAAAAGGACACACAGACCTACAGCTGAGTCCTACTGCAGATATTATGTCCCTGTGATGGCCAGGCTTAGAGATATCCTTTGAGCTCATCAACAAGAGTGGACACCCACTTATGTTTTCCTATGCAAATCTGCATCTAAACTAGGCTCCAAGTCAAATAAATAAAAGGGAAATGTGTTCAGAGGGCTGAGGGCTTGGGGAAATAGTTAGGAAGTTAAAGTTTAACCAAATGGCAATTCCTCATTTGGGCATTTAAGTCATGTTTATCGTAACAACTGAATGCCTACTAGGAAGCATAAAAGAGCCAGATCACACCACTACAGAAAACACAATCCATACCTAACAAGAAGACAAATATAGAGTACAGAAAAAGAGTACGAGGGAGCAGGCAAAAGAGGGAAAAGCATTTATCTGTGACCAGCATGCTGAGAGCTGTAGCCTTGTCTTGGTTCTACAACTTACTGTTCGTCGCTATATCAATCAGAAGAGTCTCTTCTGCTTCTGGAAGAGAGAAAAACAGGATTAAGAAGGTTCACACTGAACGCTGCGATAATTCAGGCCTCAGTAAAAGCATGTTGCCTGCTTCTAGCCACAAGAAGAGTCCCAGCAAAGGAACAAACAGCTTTAACCTACATCCCTACAAAAATAACAATAATAATCTCCCCCATCAGGGAGAACAGTCAAGTCTGGACAGCCTAGACAGACATTCTCCACAGTCAAAGCACCACGGGGAGATTCAGAGCTCTTGTAACATTCAGAGCTCTCCTGCATTGGGATGTTTTATTCCACATCAGTGTAGCTCCTCTGAAAAGCACCAACTTGAGGTTTCTCTACTCAGAATTCTCTGTATACACACAAACCAAAGCTTCTCCCCACAGGAACCTACCAACGAGCTTCAAGGCTTGTCTTGACAGCAAAAATATGTGCGAGAACTATGCTGAATTAAACAGAAGGCTAAATTTATCCAGAAAAAAAAGGATGTTTTTATCCCTCCCAACTCTCATTGCAGAGAAGCCAGCTATCAACAGCCATAAATTTTCAGTCATGACAGACATGACATGATGGCACCAACCGGCTCTGTGTGCCAGCCCAGCCCACCACACATCTGAACCAGCCAAGCTCATCGCAGCTGTAAGCTGAGATGGAAACACTCCCTGTGCTCAGATCTGGAAGAGGAGAGCAAAAACTCGGCAGTTTTAATTCCAGGAGGCAGCATTCGATCCACACGGATGCTCAGGAGGCAGGTGAAGATGCCCCACGCTGCGCTTGCTCCATTCTTGCTGATAAAGGGCAGGGGAGTTCTGCCAAAATGCGGCTAGAGAGCCCGTTGTAGCAGAGCCAGTACCTTGTACGCATTTAAAGCGGCTGTTGATGGGAATATAATCCGGATCATCGTGTTCCTTCTCTTGGGAATGGATAATTATCCTGGGGGCAGAAAGAAGGCAGGTGAGAAACCAAAGCAAGTCCGTGCAGGTGCACAGGACGCCTGTGGGACGTGCGAGGCCGCGGGGGGAGACCGAGCGCTGCGGGCAGGGCCAGGCCCGGGGGCAGCGGGTGCCGCTCCGGACACCCGGCCG